TCTCTCTCTCTCTCTCTCTCTGTGTGTGTGTGTGTGTATGTGTGTGTATTTGTGTGTATGCATGACTGTATTTGAGATGTGATTTATGTGTGTGTTTGAGTGTGTACATGCAAGACAGTGTGAGCACTGGAGTGTGAAAATGTGAGTGTATGACTGAATTTGGGAAGTGATGTGAGGGTGTGTGTTTAAGTATATATGAGAATGTATGGGCAAGTTGATGTGTTGCTGAAACTACCTATATGAGTTTATATGCCACTGCATTGCCATATGAGCATGTAAATCTATGCTTGTGTGTATGTGCTTGAGTACGAAGAATGTGTGTTTGGGGGCTTCCAGGTATGTGCATGAGTGTATGGCCATGTGCCTGTGTGGCTGTGCATATGTAATTGTGAAGGGCCTGTACATATGAGTGTATAAGGATGAGCATGGAAGTCTGTTTAGCATCTGAGCGTGTGGCCACATGTGAGAGTATGACTTTGCATCTTTGCATTTGTCTGCCGTTCAGTTCTTTCTGAATAGGAAAGGTGGCCCATGGGATGAAGGACTGTGGAGCAGCTACCATTAGGTTTTGTGGCTCTACCAAGATGATGTCCTGAGAGGCAGTACTCTCAAGGCACACCAGTGACTCTGCAAGCCACACCTGTCCCTCTAGGGGGCTGACTTCTAAAGACATTCTGTATTCTTGGATACAAAGACCAGGACGTTGCCCAAACTTGCAAAGTGGACAATTGGTGAGGGTGAGGCAGAGTGCCTCTAGCTACAGATGAGAGAAGCAGGCTTAGGAAACTTGGGTGACTTGACTCCCAAGTGCCAGGCGGGGTTCATTGAGTGCAGCAATCCTGTTGTGTGCTAGCCCACATCAGCTTTCGAGAACCTTCCACCCAGCTCCCAAGAAGCACTGTAACCTTTGCAGCTGTCCCCCATCTCTACGCTGTGGAGAAAAATCCACTAGCATAAGCTGGACATGCAGGGGGGGGGGTTCTGCCTCTGGTCCAGGGCACCCACCTGGCTGCTGTTGGCCTCCAGAGGCTCTTTTGATCCACGACTGAGAGAAACTTCCAGCACACTCCCCACAGCCTGAAACATGGCTCTGGTGGCTTCCTGGCGTCTCTGGTCCTCAGGATGAACCTTGGCACTGGCTGTCAACAGAGCTTCGGTGGCATGTTGCAGGACCTGGATGGCCTCCCACTGGGCTCACCCAAGAAGGAGAAACAGTGTGAGCCCCTGCCTGGGACGGGCCGGTCACAGAATAAGGAATGTACTGGAAGGGTTCAGGGAGGCCCAAGCCAGGGAAGAGGTAGACCAGAACTTGACATGAGCATCCTGACTTAAAACTGGCTCTTTCCTCTTCACTGGGATTGAAGTTCTTCTGGGAGAGTAGCCTGGTCTGCCTCTGAATTTTGCCAGCGTTCTTTGCACAATGCCCTTGACATATCAAGCATTTGGTAACATCTGCTGACTAGGGGCAAGAAATATGGACGCAAGGAAAATGATGGATGGAGGACAGGTGTAGGACAGATAGAAGGATGAATGACAGGTGGACAATAGATGGATTGAAGATGAATGGATGAAAATGGACGGAGGAAAAATGGATGGGAGATTGATAAAGGATGTTTGTATGGAGGATCGATGGATGGAAAAAGGATGCACAGGACGGTAGATAGCTGGACATAACACTCACCCCAATTTTGTAATTTTGTATATGTTTGTGAGAATGTTTAATGTCTCGTTGCCCCAGTAGCCTGGAAGTACCATGAGGACAGATCTCCGTGGGAGTGAATTCAATACTGGCACACAGGCATTCGAGAAGCATTTGGAGAATGAGTGAAATTCGTGCACAAACACATACAAGTGGGGTGTGGGGGATGTCCGCAGGGGTGTGCATAGGCAGGTGTGCACAAAACAAATGAGCAGATGCAGCCATCACAGAAGGGTCTCATCGACAGCACAGGGCCCTGGAGTAGTCGAGCCTTGCTGACCAGGCCAGGAGATCTGTGAGGATAGTCCTCCCTCCCCCTGGCAGAGCAGCTGGGCAGGACCAGGGTGCTTCTCCCTCTCCATGGCTTTGTGACTTCATTTCAGCCCTGGACTACCATAACCCTGGGAATGTGGTACTTCGCTATGATTCTTCAGGAAGATGATCCTGAAGCAAAAATTTGAGTGTAAGTCATTGGTTTGAAGGTGATCCCCGGGAACATTCTAGAGAAGTGGAGAAGTGGAGAAGTCAAAAAAGGAAGGGTCAGAGGTCAATGCAGAAGGTGCAAATCTGTTACCTGGGACTCAGTCCGGCACAAGGCTTTCTCACCAAGAGTATCTGGGAGCTCAGGTACTCATGCCCCATCCCCACCAGCCACTGAACACTGGGTGAATCCCCTTGCCATGTGAGCACATTGGGAAGCTTGGGTACCAGGAAGACCCCAGGCTGGAAAGGCAGGAGCCAGCAGCTCTGTGTTAGGCTGACACACAGTGGGCCAGCAGCAATAACTGGACACACACTTGGGACCAAAGATGATTAGGTACTCTCACTAGTGCCCATCAGTGGGCAGTAAGCACACAGGCCATAAGCCCAGAGTGAAACACTGGGGCCTGTCATGGACCCTGAAGGACTCTTGGAAAGAAGATGGCAGAAGTCTTGGCTCCAGGATAGCACCATGGCTGGGAGACTTCTTTGATCTCTGCCCTAATGAGTTGCCACCCACATAGCATGGAGGAATGTGTGCTGTAGTCTGGCTCTGCCAGTGGAAAGTCTCACCTGGGCCACAGGGGTGAGCTCCTCACTGCGGTGAGTCACCTCTCTCAGTGCCTCAGCAAAACCCTGCACCCTTTGCATGTTCTCCAGGCCAGTGGCGAGCGTGGACAGTGATCTCAGCACAAGCTCTCTGACCTTGGCACACAGGGGAGAGAGGCCAGGAAATAAACTATATTTCAAAGGCTTCCTTAAAGGCCTTGCAGGACAATTTGGGATCTCAGGAATGGCTGAGCTCATCTGAGTTCTGTAGACCTGGATATATGACATACAAGACAATAGCCACAAGCTTCCCTCTCTGGGAAGCTGAAACCTGTGACCATGTTGCCTCCCAGAAAAAAAGAAAAGGGGCTTTGGCAAAATCACTCCGAAGATATAGTTCTGCTCAGCACCTTCACATGGGGAGATCCTTTGGCAGTTACAGGTGGGTGCAGTTGCCAGGATCTCCATACGAGAGAGGTGGGAACACTGAGGGAGGAGACGGGTGATGCGTGCAGAGAGGGGAGGGGATACCTGGAGAGGAGAAGGCTTCAAAAATGTAGTAAGGGGTGCTGGGTTGATAGCTTGATAGTTAGTACACAAGAATGAAGACCTAAGCAAAAAAAAAAAGCCCAGCGCCCCCCCCCCACACACACACACACACACACACACACACACACACACACACACACACACACACACACACGGACAGATGGACGGAAAGACGGACGGAAAAGGGGGTTAGGAGCCCAGGACTGATGATGACCTCTAGAAGTTAGGAAAACTAAAAAGTAGATTCTCCCCTACAGCCTTCAGAAAGTTCTTGGCCTTGCCTAGGCATGCCTGATCACTTTCCTCCTCTGGCCCTTGGTTTTGTCATCTTTGGTATGAGGGAGGTGGAGTGAGGCTTCAGCTTCCAGGAGGCTGTTGACTCCATGGTGTTGGGCAGAGAAAGTGGGTTACCAATAAGGAAGATGTTTTCTTCACTTTATGCCACTCATGGGAGGAACTAAAGTAAGAAGTGACAGTGACCATTGGGAGATACTCAAGGCTTCTCTGATTCATGAACCCCACAATCACCCCAAGAAGCTACATATAGATTTTAAAGGATCCAATTCACGCACCTTCCACTTGATATCTGTTCTAAGTCGCCCAGAGCCTGGGCTCTGGTCCTCCTGGTTAAGTTCAGAGGACACAGCCTTGGCAAAGAGGAGAAGCTGGTCACTGCCATGCTCATCTTGTAGAGCTGTGGTGATTCTCTCTGACACAATAGCCTGGAATGTCTCATTGTCAACACCAGTGTTACCATGTCCCACCTGAGAAGGAAACCAGAAATGAGCTCAACAGTCTTTGTTCAAGATGCTGACTCCTGAAGTCATGGGTCTGGGAGCAGAGCAGACCTAGTACAGAGCTCTCAGGCACTTCCTGAGACTGGAGGTCACTTGGACCCATTTGCACCAGGAAGCTGATAGTTTCCAACACCACATCTTGGGCAAACCCATACTCCACCTCTTTATTCTAGCCATCCCCTACCTGCACCTGCCTCCCAGCCATGAACCTCTCTCAAGACCTCTCCAGACTCTGCCCATCGTTCTCTTGGCTGATCTCAGTCCTAACTCATGCCCGAGTTCTTCTGCTCCAACTTGCCCCTGCTTCCAGGACCTACCCATACTCTGGCTACTAAGTCATAAGATATACAAAGGTAGAGGTGTTATCCATGTGTCCATGGCTGTATCCTCAGGACTTGGCACAAGGTGGATGGGTGCTGTGTAAATAGTTGTGGAAGGAATGAGTGAATAGGCGATTCATCACCCATGCCCTCGGCTGCCTCCACATGTCTTGTAGTTCCTGAGGTTCAGCTGGGTGGAGACATTTCCCAATAAAGAAACACCAGCCATCACCACCACCCACCTTAACTGCCACTTGAGTTTGCTGGCTGTCCCCTGCCTGATTGGTGACAGAGATGACCACCGTCAAGACAAAGTCATCCTTTTCTTTCCCAATTGGTAAGTACATTATAGGGAGTGCTGGTTCAAGGCCACAGTGGAGGCAGGAACCTGGGAAATTGGAAACGAAGCAGTTAGGAGTAAAGAGCCAAGCTCCTTGTCACAGGGCCAGAGAAGCTCCAGCTGTTGAAAAGGTGGCAGCCACTCTGGGAATCCATAGATTGCTGTATCTTTATAATCATTTCCCTAAAGTGTTAGAAATTTATCCCTATTTACAGGTGATGTAAATATATATCCCTATTTGTGGTGGCTAAAACATTTTTTAAATGTTTTTAAAGGTTTACTTATTTATATAAGTGCTCCGTCTGCATGTTCCTCTGCTTGCCAGAGGAGGGCATTGCATCACACTTTAGATGGTTTGAGCCACCATGTAGGTGCTGGAAATAGAAGCTGGGTACTCTGGAAGAGCAACAAGTGCTCTTAACTGCTGAACCATCTCTCCAGCCCCAGGCTTGTTTGTTTTGGTTTTGGTGTTTGTTTTTATAATGTGGCAAACCAAATTACAACATGAATGAAAAGAAGGTAGGGAATGGGGAGAGAGAAAGGAAGAGCAGGAGGAAGAATAGAAACAGCCCCCCACCCCAAATTACACTCAGAGCAGATACTCACCCCTTCAGGAATCAGCAGCCAGAGTTAGGTAGGTATGTTTTGCTTGCTTGTTTGTTTGTTTTAATCTTCATATGTGTGTGATGTACGTGTGTGTGGTGTATGATTGTGTGTGTGGTATATGATATGTGTGTGTTTATACACACATGTCACCACACAGATATGGAGAGCAGAGGATAACTTCATGGTGTTGGTTCTCTCCTACATCTTTATGTGGGTCTGAGGATTAAACTCCAGTGCCAATCCAGAGAAGCAAGCTCCTGTACCCATTGAACCATTAAGCCAGCCCGTTTTGTTTGTTTGGAGGTTTTCATTGTTCTTGGTTTGTTTTTCTGAGATAATATATCACTCTGTAGTCCAGGCTGGCCTAGAGCTCACCATGTAGCCCAGGCTGGTCTTGAACAGTCCTCCTTCCCAGCATCTCAAGTACTCGGTGGGACTGCAGACATGAGCCACATGAGCCACCACCCTTGGTGTCAGTGTTGGTGGTTCTGGGTTTGGTTTTACAGTGTGGGGATGGAAGCACTTCAGACAAGAACTCTCTGCAGTTCTCTGCCCCATATCACCTACAATGCACCATGTGATGCATGTCATGGTTTACCAGATGTCTCTGCCACTAGATGTTAAAGATCATGAAGTAAAGGATTTTCTCTGTTGTGTTCACTGCTACATACCTAGCACCCAGAACACAGCCTGGCATTTGGCATGTATTTGTTGTAAACATAAGTAAATGGATGAATATCTTTTGATCCTTAAAGGAGACCCACACATCACGGAAGTCTCCAGTCATTGTGTAGTGTGCAGACAACCGTGAAGCAATTGACTTGCAACTGATCACTCACTGTTGTACAACCACACTTCCTTGCCTTCTTGCTCACCTGTATGAGATGGGGGCTGGAACAAAAGGGAAATCTGGCCTCTCCCTTTGGATGCAGAGGGGAGGCATTTGGGAATGAAGCCTATTCACCTTGCTTAGGTTTTCTTTTTTCCACACTCAGAACCAGTCATTGCCTTCTAAACAGCCCAGTGTTTGCACATTCTTTGACGGGGCACCCACTGGAAACTCTACTCCCTAGATAAGGGCTTGCATCCTCCTTTTCCTAGTTAAAGGTGCACTGCTTATGTCATGTGATGTCTGGGACAAGATATTGTAGTATAGGCAGGCAACACTCGTGGTGCCTCAGTTTGGAAGAAAGTGTCACTTGGGTACAGGCCACACAGAGCTCATGTGATGGTCCCTAAATGCCCAAGGCCACAAGGAGAACCAACAGTCACCAAAATGGAATAGTAAATGGAGTGAGCTGTCCCAAGCCACCCATCTCTTCATATTCACTGCTGTTCTGGGTGTGGTTGTCATGACTGTGTGGGATGTCATGCAGTGTAGGTAAGGTCTTGATGGTCATCCTCTGAGAACCTTCTGAAAAAATGTTCTTTAAGATTTGCTTGGCCCCTCTCCACCGGCCTGACCCCTACCAAGAGCCCTCATCCAATGGCTGATGGAAGCAGAGGCAGACACCCACAGATATACACTGAACTGAACTCTGGAACCTCATTGCAGAAAGGGAGGAATAAAGTTCAAAAGGGTCAGTACCAGGCTGGTGAAACCCACAGAAACAACTGGCCTGTACAAGGGGGAGCACATGGACCCCAGACTGCTGTCTGGGAGGCCAGCACAGGACTGATCCAGACCCCTGAACACGGATATCAATTAGGAGGCCTCTGAAAAAAATGAAGGGAGGAGGGGGGAAAACCCCCCCCAAATCTCCCAAGCCTTTTTTTTCCCTGCTTTTGGGATTGGGGGGGTTTGGGGGGGGGGGAGGGTGGGGGGTTAGGGGGAAGGGTTGGGGGAAAGGGGAGGGAGAGGGAGAGGGAGAAGGGATTGACATGTGAAGCAAGCCTGTTCCTAATTTGAACTAATAAAAAAAAATTAAAAAAAGATTTGCTTGTCTTTCGAACACAGTCATTTTCTGCTGCCACTTACAAATCAGGGTCAATGAAAGTGTTGAAGGCTCTGTGAACTAAATCCAGTTCTGCTTTCCCAGGTAGCTCCAGCTCCAGATTTTCAAAGAATGACAGTGTCTCTCTGCAGTGACTCTCTTTTTCTTACTCCTTTTGCTCTTGTGTGTGTGTGTGTGTGTGTGTGTGTGTGTGTGTGTGTGTTTGTGTGTGTGTGTGTGTGTGTGTGTGTGTGTGTGTGTGTGTGTGTGTGTTTTGTGTAGGACTATGACTTGGTATGTCCATACCTGTTGGGTCTCCTCATCCATTTAACCCTTTCATATACCTTATATTGGGACAAAGTCATTTTGTCCTCTAGGCTTGGGCAGGCATTGCTATTGGATACTGTTCTTCTGGTATGATGACTGGGCCAGTTCTTTGGGAATGACCAAGGCTTAGGAGTCCCTCACCCTGTGTGCCTCCCTTCATTCTAGAACATATTCTACCATAGTTCCATGGCAGGGACAGTCCCTGTTCTTGGAGAAGATGGTCATGGGGCCTGAGGGAAGAGCAGCATCTCTAGCTGGTACCTGACTGCAGACAGAAGCAATACTCCAGGGGGCCTGGGGCTGTGGTGGTGGTGCAGAAGACAGCAAAGCTCGTGAGGACAGTGCCCTCCTCCGGGATGACTGCACAGGCGGGCACCTCTGGTAGAGGTAGCATGCTGATCACGTAGGCATCCTCCCCGTAGGCGTGGCTGGTCAGTGCTGGAAAGGGAAGATTCGTTGTGCTTAGGGGACTGTGTGTCTAAAAACTTAGATGTGGAGAGCCTGTTCCACAAAGATTTCTGGGCCTCTGCAGCCCCACACCCTCTGGTCTCTCTGGAGATTCTGGGGGTAGGTTCCCAAATACTCGTTTCTAATGACTGTCCCCAATGCAAGGCCCCAGGGCTCACTTTGAGAAAATGGACAGAGAAGAGATACTCAAGACAGATGTGGAGTTGGAATTCTTGTTCTGCTGTTTACTGTGCAAGAGGCCTTGGACTTGACCTCTGTCATCTGTAAGATGTGCCAATAATGACTTCCTCATAGGAACTTCATGAGCAGCTTACCCAGAAACCATCTCTTTCCATCCTCATACCCTTAGCCATGAGCTCACCACCACCACCACCACATCTGTCCTGCAGCAATGTGTCACCATGCCTGGTTCAAAAAGAGCATGAGGTCGCCAGAGTCCAGCACAGGAAAACCTTAATTGGTTACAACTAAGGTCCTGGCCTAACTCAGCTGGGAAGGCCTGAGGCAGAGCAGCAGCATCCACTGAACCAGTGCCTCGGTTTGTCTGGCACAGATGGCACATGCCTGCAGTCCTAGCAGGAAACTGGGGAAAAGAAAGTGTTCTTAGGAAGCATAGCCATCTTTGCTTTGTGACCTTGTTTGGGCACTGGGCTCATTTTCAATGAGTAACTCTTGACTTCTGGTAGGAAACGAAGTTTGACTTGGGGTGGCCAGCTTGTCTCACCGGAACTCTGCCAATCATCTTTCCTGATAACAATTTCAGGGCAGGTATTTTTGTGTTTGTTTTTGTTTATTGTTTTTGTTTTGTTTGTTTTTTTTTTTTTTTTCGAGACAGGGTTTCTCTGTGTAGCTTTGTAGACCAGGCTGGCCTCGAACTCACAGAGATCCACCTGCCTCTGCCTCCCAAGTGCTGGGATTAAGGCGTGCGCCACCACCGTCCTCAGGGCAGGTATTTACATCACCCCAGATTTACATGTGAGGGAACTGAAGCAACAAAAAGTCAAATCCTTTGCCCAAAGTCTCCTAAGTAGAAAGCCCATACCCTGCCCCATGCTAGGCCAAAGTTCCTCATTTTAGCTTTTCCCAGTTTGTCTTGGTTCTGTGACAGGAGGTGGGGTGACAGCTTCTCACCTGTGACCCGGATTCGAACGACAGGTCCCCAAGTCTGCAGGAAGCTGCTGTTCAGTAACAGCATGGAGGAATTGCTGTGAAGGAGGGTCAGTGAGCGTGGCCAAAATCCTCTGAGTCTGCAGGCATCAGGGAGTGGCTCATCCTGCAAGAGAACAGCACTTAGGGCTCTAAAGTCTGTTGGGTAGGAACCTGGACATCCCCAGTTCCTTGGATTCTATCATCCCCAGGCCTGTCAGACTTCTCTCTGATGAATGAGTGACAGGCACTGCTATTACCCAGGAGGTCAGTAAATAGTCAATCTCTAGCCTTGTCTCTTATCTGAGGTCCGGTTCCCAGGAAAGGAGCCCAGAGAGGAATGGGCATATGTTACTTATGCAGTGAGGAGCCTGAGGAGGAATGTGCACAGCTCACTTATGCAGGGTGAATTCATTGGGGAATCAGCTAGTAATCAGTGCAGAGAAGGGAGTGACAGCAAGCAGTTTAAGAAGCATCTTTCTTTCTTTTTTTTTAATCACAAGAAAAGTATATTTGAATGAATTCACCAAGAGATGACAAATTTCCAAAAATTGGAACCCTTAGACTGACATTATATCCACTAATCTAAATATTAAAAATACGATTTTGCTTAATTGTTTAACTACTAGAGGGGTATATGCAGTAGATTATCATAACTATTCAAACAAAGCTATTTACGGATGCCTCTAATACTCATGTCCCTTTAACCTTTACCAGTAAAGAAGCATCTTTCTTAATGTGGCCCTGTGGGACCTTGGCAGTGTGAGGTGTGCTGCAGAGATGTCTTTGGGGGCAAGGGTGCTAGGCCTCTGCCGAGCAGCTGGCAGGGGGCTTTGGCTGAGGGCAACGGTATATGTCTCTCCATAGACTTAGCTTCTTTGTGTCATCCATTCACCTGTTAGAATTTCCCCCCAGTCCCCTCTGAAGCATGTCCCCAGATCTTCCTGACTGCCTTGCACCAGCTCCAAGTGGGGTTGGCCCACCCTGTCTCAGGGCCTGGTATTCAACGTAAGTCTGGTCTTCTCAGAGGAGACAGTTTCTACTGAGTGGTTGAGGCATCTCACCTTGTCTGACGAGGTGTCATCTAAGTACCAACTGAACATAGCCACTGGGCTTTCATCTTCCACAGTGACCGTGAGCAGAACGTCTTGGTCGGCTTTCACTGGCTGGCAGTTCTTCTCACAGCTGGAAGGTACAAGGAATTAAAGAGAGAATGCCCCCTCAGGCATCATGACCTCTTGCCTAGCCTTGACCCAGTTCTTGAGTCTGTGGAGAGGGTGGGATGTGGCCAAATGAAAGATGGAATAAAAGCCACCAATGTTCTAATCTAACCAGGATAGAACCTTGTTCTGCAAGCAGGTGAAGAGAGTTGGACATGACCAGACTCCCACATCACTCCACTTGCAGTGATGGGGAGGGGAAGCCAGGACAGGGCCCTGGCTTCCAGTCCTGACTCTGTTACTTAGGAAGGCTCACCCTGTATGAGTAACTTAAACTCTAAGTCTTGGTTTCCTTAGCTGTAAAGGAAATGGATAAAGCCATATAAGTTCTGAGATTTTCTTAAGTGTTGATAAAAGCAGATGGCACACATATGGTGAGTAATGAGAGCAGCTCCAAGAGTGACATGTTAGAGCCCCTAGAGCACTTGTGAGCATGCCAGGCTCAGAAGACTTGCATGATTGGTCCCAGAGGACACCACTCTGGAGTGAGTGAATGGAGCATGAACCCTGTGTCTGGGTCCACCCCCTCTTTCCCTCTCCATCTCTCCCTCTCTCCCTCACCCTTTCTCTCTCCCTGCCCCTCTCCCTCTGTGTCTCTGTGTGTACTTTTGCACACATGCATATGGATGTCAGAGATTGATATTGCCGCCCTCTCTCTTCGCCTTATTGTTTGAGATAAGGTCTCTTACTGGACCTGAAGCTCTCTTATTGGCTAGACCTGCTGTCCAGCAAGCCCTGGGATACCCTTGTCTCTGCTTCCCCTGTCCCGAACTTAATAGAGCCATGGGGCTATGTCTGTTTTGTTTATTTGTTTGTTTGGGTTTTTGTTTATTGTTTTGTTTTACTTCAGTACTAGGCATCTGGACATTGGTCCTCATGCTTGCACAGCAAACATTTTATCAAATAAGCCATCATCTCTACAGCTCCCTGAGCCTTCTATATGGTGCCCTACCCCTCCCTGGAGCCTGAGAAATCACTTTGACATCTGCTGTCAGTCTAAAATGCATCTCCAGGTCCTCCAACCTTTCTTCTTCTCTTGTCAATGTCTGTCAAGTACAAGCATGCTGGTGGGTTTCTACAGCCCTTCCAGAACATTCTCCAGCTCTCTCTGCAGAGCTGATGCCTCAGCTCCCAGCCTCTAGGCTTCTGTGTGGGTCCAGCCAGTGGAAAGCTTTGGTAGGGCCAGGAGGTCTGAGGAGAGAAGGTGGGCTGAAGAGAGCATGAAACTATTTTTCATCGCTTACAGAAGGGCTACAGCGGCAGAACTGGTGCCCCATCTTGTCAAGGCCGTGGTTCCTGTCCTGCTCCACCAGCTATAGTTCATAGGGGATTCTAGTCATGCCTCCTCTTACCCCTGCAGTCCTAGGAGTGATGGCTTGTCCCATCCTATTGCAGTCCTGAATTGTCACCTGGGCCATTCCTTGAGTCCTGCTCATTCACACCTGAGGGGTTATGTTTGTCCATCTGCAATCAGTTTCTGAATGCATGAGTCATCTGCTTCCAGCAGGGACCTGGCTGATGGGCCCAGCTGCCTCAAGCTCCTACCTGACTCCTACAAAATGCTAAATCATCTCACTGAGGTCCCTTCTTTCCTGATAGTATAATGTTTTGATGCAAGCTGTGACTATGTCCCTCTTGCTCAGACATGTTGGGCAGTGTGCTGGCTTGTCTTATGTCAACCTGACACAGCTGGAGTTATCTGAACAGAGGAAACATTAACTGAGAAAAGGCCTCCATAAGATCTGGTTGAAGGGCATTTTCTTAATTAGTGATCGACGGAAGAGGACTCAGCCCATTGTGGGTGGAGCCACCCGTGGACTGGTAGTCCTGGGTTCTATAAGAAAGCAGGCTGAGAAAGCCATGGGGAGCAAGCCAGTAAGCAGGACTCCTCCATGGACTCTGCATCAGCTCCTGCCTCTAAGATCCTGTCCCTTTTGAGTTCCTGTCTTCGTCTCCTTAAATGATGAACAGTGCTGTGAAAGTGTAAGTTAAATAACCCCTTTTCTCTCCAAGTTGTTCTGTGGTCATGGTGTCTCGTCACAACAATAGAAATCTGTAGGATAGTCCTTTACACTATGTGAATATGTGTCACTGTGGCTTAATAAAAAAGCTGACTGGCTAATAGCTGGGCAGATATAGGTTAGGCAGGACTTGTGAACAAAAGACAGCATAAAGAAGAAAGGAGGAGTCTAGGGAGTCATAAGGAGATGCAGAGGAAGCAGGAGATGAACTTGTCCTGCTGAGAAAAGGTCCCGAGCCATGTGGTAGAGTGTAGATAAGAAATATGGGTTAATTTAAGTCATAAGAGCTAGTTAGTGACAAACAGAGCTATCAGCCAAGGCCTTAAAATTAATAGTAAGTCTCTGTGTGGTTATTTGGAAGCTGGCTGACAGACAGAAAGGTCTGTCAATAGAAACCCTAAGACAGGTAGCTTTCCCTAGAGACTCCTGGGTAAAAGACCCGCAAGACCCTGCCTTGCCAGATCTTTGCGAGTTTGAGACCAGCCTGGTCTACAAGCCTCCAAAGCCACAGATAAACCTGTCTCAAAAAATCAAAAAACAAACAAACAAACAAACAAACAAAAACCCTGCCTTGCTCTTTCTCCTCCTCCCCACAAGACTCCTCCAAGTCTCTGTTGAGCTCTACCTCCTATGGGAAGACCTTTGTGTCCCCTGAATGGAGAAGTTGTCATAAACCTCTGCTGTCCCTTCATGCTATTTATTGTTGATTCCACAGGTCGCCACTCCTGTGTGAGCACAGGTGAGATCTGCCCTGCAAGTCTTATCTCTGAGTGGTGCTGGCTGATGGAGAACATGCTGACATGCCTCACCTGATTTGAGGCTGAAGATCCAGGGGAGAAAATACATAGAGGCACCGTTCTGTCTCTCTCTCCAGTTCCTGGCCCCGTAGGATAGCCAAGTACAGGGTGACAGCAGAGTTGAGTGGTGGCAGACATGAGGGAGGGAGCACCAGCAACCTTTGGTCTGTGTGGAGCAGTTGCCTCCCCACACAGTCACTCCACTGAGCCCAGCAACGTCCTGAGAGAGACGGGCAGACACTTACTCACAGCCTCCCTGAAGCTGACATACCATGGACTTTCTGGTTTAGCAAGGCTTTTGTGGGTGGTGGTGGTTTGGTTTCATTGAGACAGGGTCTGGCTGCACAGCCTGTACTAGCTTCAAACAGATAATTTCCCTGCTTCTGCCTCCCGAGGGCTAGGGTTACGGGGCTGAGCCACTATGCCCAAGCTCCAATTACCATGTTTTATTTTTGGTCTTGGTGTGTGTGCATGTGCACTCATGCATGCATGTGTGTGTGCCTGCACATGCGTGTGTGCATGCATGTATGTGTGTATGCACATGCATGCGTGCGTGCGTGCGTGCGTGCGTGCGTGTGTGTGTGTGTGTGTGTGTGTGTGTGTGTGTGTGCGCACGTGTGTGAACACATGTCTTGGGTACATGTGGAGGGCAGAGGACTACTTGAAGGAGTCCATTTTTTCCTTCCACTGTGTAGTTCCTGGGAATGAACTTGGGTTGTTAGGCTTGGCAGCAACTACTTTTACCTGCTGAGCCATCTCACAAGCCCCAGTAACTCCATTTTCAGAAATATTAGTTTTGAAAGAAGCCACGTAAGATGAAGACTGAGAGGACTGTTCATCAGAGCAGAGAAGTGGAAAGGCCCAGATGTGAACAATGACTACACGGTGACCTGCTGTATGATGACTATGAAAAATCAGGATGAACAGGCATTAAAATGAGATGACTCAGCAGCTAAGACCACTTGTTGCTCTTGCAGAGGACCTGGATTCAATTCCCAGCACCCACATGAGGAAGCTCATAGCTATAACTCCAGTCCCAAGGGATTCAACACCCTCTTTTGATCCCTGTGGACACCAGGCATACACATGGTGCACATACATGCATGTAGGCAAAGGATACACACGAATAAAATAAAAATAAATATTTTTAAGCATGAAGAGGATTATTGTTGTTGTTGTTGTTGTTTGGGATTTTCAAGTCAGGGTCTCATATAGCACCAACTGGCCTTGAATCCTTGTGCAGCTGAAGATGAACCTGAACTCCTGAGCCTCCACCTTCTACCTCCCAAGTACACAGGGCATGTCATTCAATGAAAAAACAAACAAAAACCAGAAGCAACACTCGTAGCATTTTATTTCTAAAACGAGTGTGTAGCAAGGGCGTATCCCTATAAAAAAAGGACACCCACTTTGGGAAGTTTGTGCTACCATCTTTGTTTGAAGAAAGGTACCTGGAATCTCCCTAGTGAGGGGTATGTTATGTGTGTGTGTGTCCAGTGTGTAGTATGTGTTTGTGTGTAATGTTGCATGTATATATATATTGTGTGTGTGTGTGTGTGAATGTGTATGTGTGGTGTATGTATGTGTTTGTATATTTTTATGTGTATATGGAATGCTTGTATATGTGTGGTAAGATGGTGTGTGTGTGTGTGTGTGTGTGTGTGTGTGTCTGTTTATGGTGTGTGTGTTAGGAGGGAATGACCCTCTCTCTCATAGGGGAACTATCTGGTAACAGAACTTACCTGATTTACCAGTGCATGGTGTCAATTAACAAAGTGGCCTGACTTTTACCTTGTGTAATTGTTTTTAAATCTCCTATGCTACCTGTGTTCAGGGCCATCATCCCTCCTTGGTCTGCTGCTACTCCTCCACACTCATATCTGTGGTTTACACTCTGGCACACACAGGTTGACAGTGTCAAGCATGAGTCGTGTCAGATGAAGACATGATTGCCAGATGAAGAGAACAGGCAGGCGTGACAATGCTCACACATCAGAGATGGGGGTGGGGGCAGGAGAGTGTATACCACCACCTACCGCAGGACCAGTGGAAGCCCAAGTCTGGGTCATCATCTGGCCAGCCCAGAATGACTTCAGTGAAAGGATCCACATACAGTTCAGACTCAGTGAACACCTTCAAGTCCCCTTCGTCTTCCTGCAGAGGAAGTGACCACCAGTGAGACAATACTGCATAGTTCAGCTTCTCTGTAGAGTGCTACCACAACCTATCCTCCACCCCAGAGCTGAGTGTGCTGACAGTGGTCACAGGGTGAGGCTCAGAGCAGAGAAAGTTCTGGATGGTTTTCTTCCCTGGGGCTTTCCTCAGGAGGAAACGCCTTCCTAAGACTCACTGGCTACACAGCTTTGTCTCCAGTGTTGATTTAAGACTCAGTGTGTAGTAAAGTGCATGGACAGAGGCCATTCTGAGCCAGGGCCTGTGCTGATGACTGGAGACACGGTAACAGAGACACAACTGTGCCCTTAAGATAGATAGGAAAGACAGGGACGATAATGGACACTTAAAACTCAGAGCACTGCCCATGCTTGATTAGAGGGGATTCAATTAGAGGACAGAGGAGAATGTGGAAGATGGGGGCAATCAACCAGTTAAGAATCCCTTGAGGGATTTGGGGAGAGGTGGCTCAGTTTGAAAGGTCTTTGCTTCGTAAGTATGATGACCTGAATTCAACTCTCAAGCTCCCTTAGGGAAGTGACATGTGCTTGTAATGCCAGCCTTGGGGAGATGAGACAAATGGATCTCTGAGGCTCACCGGCAAGCCAGATTAGACTACGTGATGAGCTCCAGGATAATGAGAGACCCTGCCTCAAAAATCAAACCAAACCAAAGTGGATGGCTTCTGAGTAACAATGCCTGGTGTTCTCTGATCTCCACATACTCACACATGTGCACACACAAAGGAAGGAAAAATAACAAAGAATATAGGGCTTAGGGCCAGCCAAGTCTCAGAGCAGGTCATGAGCCTGTATCCTTCAGCCGTGTTATTAGTCTCTGTCCCTCTGAGGACTTGTTAGCATCTGACTCCCAGGGTTTCCACATCTTCCCTGGGCAGAGTTAGGGAAGCTTCCTTTCGATGGTTTCCCAGAAACACCAAAAGGAAGAGGAGAGAGGACTGGCTAGGCAACAGTGGAGATCCTGTCAGTTCTAGGAGTCAGTGGGCCTGAGGTGAATTCTGGGAGCAATTGCTGATGGGACCTGTTAAACAACTTAGTTATGGGTCCTCTTGTTCACACCTTGACCCAGAATCGCACAAGGCTACAGTGGAACTCAACCTCGGATGGACTGTGCATGCCATGAGTGTGTGGAGCTCAGAGAACACCTTAGGGGTCAGTCCTGGCCCTCCACTTTGAGACCCAGGCTCTTAGTCTCCAGTGCATAGGCTTGGCTAACTGGCCTTTGTGCTCCCAGGAATTCTCGTGTCTCCCCTTTCCGTCTTGTAAGAACACCAGGGTTACAGGAGCTTGCCATCATGTCCCGCTTACACCGTGCAACAAGAGCTTTAGCCACCAGCCATCCTCAGTCCTCATGTCACCTCTGAGCACATCTAGGAGATCACACTCTGACTATTGCCATCAGCACACCTGATGGGTTCTTGGTAGACACTAACAATTCTCGGTTTCTTCGTTCTTGTGTGTCTATCTCTGAGCCTCATGGAGGCAAGATAGCACATCTGCATTTTCCATATCAAATCCTCAGCCCCTAATGTCAATTTGAGAGCACTCCAGATGCACAGTAGGTCCTCGTTATTCAGCAAACATGTGCACAATGTCAAGGGAAAGGAGCCAAAGACTCTGGAGTAAACACTAAAGAACACGAGCCTGTTTCTTAAAGTTAAGTGCTAACAGCTATGATTTTCCCTCTGAGTGATGCCTCAGCCTCACCCACAACTGTGGATCAACTGTATTGCCATTGTAATTTTAGTTAGAAATATTTTCTAATTTCCCCTATGATTTCCTATTTCACCTCTTTAAGAAAAAAAAATAAATGCACTACTTATTTTCTAAGGCCTACCTATATGACCTAGTGTCTTATTTTTATAGCCCAACACTGTTGTAGTTAGAGAACATGCTTCCAGGCCTCTTTCCAAATGGAGGACAGCTTGGGGACCTGTGGGAGCCCTGTCAGTACCCTAAACCACAAATGTTTTTCTTATATTCTTTTATTCTTATATTTTTTTTTCATTCATTTTACATACCAACCACAATTTCCCGTCTTCCCCTCCTTCCCCTCCCCAGCTCTCTCCAACCCACCCCCATCCACTCCTCAGAAACAAAGCCTGGCACATTTAGTTGAGGCAGGACCAACCCCCTCCAGTCCCTCATCAAGGCTGAGCAAGGAATGGGCTTCAAAAAGTCAGCTCATGCATCAGGGATAGATCTTGGTTCCTCTGTCAGGGGTCCCACAACCAGACCAGACTACAGCACTGTCCCCACATGCAGAGGGCCTGGTTTGGTCCCATGCAGGATCCCCAGCTACCAGTCTAGAGTCTGTGAGCCCCTGGTCAACTGTTTCTGTGGGTCATGATCTTGACCCCCTTGCTCATATAATTCCTCCTCCTGCTCTTTGACTGGACTCCTATCGCTTGGCCTGGTGCTTGGATAAGCATCTCTGCATCTGCTCCATCAGTTACTGGAGGAAGGTTCTATGATGTCAGTTAGGGTAGTCACCAATCTGATTACAGGGGAAGGCCAGTTTAGGTACTCTCTCCACTATTGCTAGGGATCTTAGCTGAGGCCATCCTTGTGGATTCCTGGGAACTTCCCTAGCATCAGCTAAACCCAAAACTTAGAAAAGTGCTTGGATGTCTTTTTCTGTGACGTTAAATGTTTTAAAGATACTCACGTTCTTTGCTTCAGCCTTCATTCCAGATGGCTCTTGGAGTCTGGAAGGGGCTGTGAACATAATGAGAACAAGCATTAAGCTTTGGTGGAAAATACTGTAAGAAGTTGCCAAAGGCAGAGTCATGCAAGAGGTCCCAGGTTGGGGTCGGGTGAGGGAACAAGTCTAGACAACACAGTATGACCCCGCTCCAAAAAAACAAAATGAAACAAAACAAAACTATAAAGATCTCTTTAGAAGATCATGATGAACACACCCTAAGATGTCTTTGCAAATGGTCCTAGGAACATGGATAACCCCATTCAGGCGATAGACACTCAGTTGACAAGGCTCAGTGGGTGACAGCTGTCACACCTGGCTTTGCATGAGTGCTGGGGATCTGACCTCAGGCACTCACACCTGCACATCAAGCTCTTGACCCACTGAGCCACCTCCCCAGCCCTCATCTTGTGTATTTTTGTTATTGGTTTTTCAGCATTGGGGGTGGAGTCCTGGGCTTCTGTGTACTAAGGAAGAACTCTACCATTGGGCCACACCCTCAGGCCATCACAGGAGAGGTGAAGGCTTCAGCACACCTCTTGTACTTTCATGTACCTCAGTCAACTCTGTGTTAGAATACCTAAGATGCTATAAGAACTATGTCTGAGCACTGCACCGTGCAGTCCAAGGAGTCACGGCAAGAAGTATCTGTGCACGTTCAGCCAGAGCTTTCCTGGTACTTTCTGTGACTGTGTCTTTAGAGCACCCAGAGGATTCTGAGACTGTGGCGTGGACTCCATGTTCAGAGTCCGGTCTGAAAGCCCCTCGCTAGACTCCAGGCAGGTTCAGTGCCCTGGACTCCTGAGAGTACAAACACCTTGCCTGTGACTGTGATGCTCCCCACATCCAAGCTCAAGTCTGAGAAAGCGTTCCGCACACGCACAGTGACCAGAAAGGTGCCTGCAATACAAAGGGGAAAGAGTCACTGACATTGTCACAACTGTGTGACACCAGCGGAGACAGCTCTCCCTAGGTGTGCCTATCTGGCTGCCTGACTGCAATCCTGGAATTGCTCACCCTCTTAAGCTCTTATGAGTCCTAGGATATGCCAGGCCTGGGGCAAGGCTCTGGGGACACACAGGTGACAGAACATGACACTTAATATACATGTAGGCAGAGAGTGTCACACCATGACAAGGACTGGCACCGGAAGGGAACTAAAAGAGTAATGATGGGTGAATATGATAAGAAAATATATTATCCATATATGAAATTATCAAAGGCCGGGTGTTGGTGGCACACGCCTTTAATCCCAGCACTCGGGAGGCAGAGGCAGGCAGATCTCTGTGAGTTCGAGGCCAGCCTGGTCTCCAGAGCGAGTGCTACACAGAGAAACCCTGTCTCGAAAAACCAAAAAAAAAAAAAACGAAAAGAAATTATCAAAGAATTTTGGGACGTGTCCAGGCTGAGAGCCCCTGCAGACAGCTGGAAACTAACGGTGACAGACAGTACCTGTCCCCTTACTGAGGAGGGTCTCAGAAAGGATCACCAGGTAAGCTGTCACTCCACCCAGGAGTTACTGAAAAACTGATGGAACCAAATAAGAAATATAAAAAGGGCCTTGGAAGGGGGTGCTACCAACCCCAGTACCTTCAACAGGAATCGTCACGTGGTAGGTCCCAGATGACTGCCCACCACTTTCCTCCTTCTGGGAGAAGTTTGCATTGAGGCCCACCATCTCAAAGGTCAGCTCCTCGAGGGTACCACAAGCCACTGAGACATTGATCAACAGGTCACACCCAAGCTCCACATGGTCCGAAGCCCAGGAAGCCTGCAGTCCCGACAGCAGCTCCACAAAGTGGACAGTGATGTTTACTGGTGGAGCGGAGGCAGTGCTGTTTCCCACAACTCGGATGTTCAGGTGGTGCCTCCCAGGGCCCAGCAGCTCTTGGGTTTCTCTGTCCAGAGTCAGATTGTAAGATCTCAAGCCCCTCTGGGTGGTGTACTCAGCCAGAGTTACATTACCCGAAAGCACCGCGTAAGTCACCCCAGCACCTAGGTGGGGTAAGGAAAATTTAGGAAGCCTGTTACCAACTATGCAGCTAGCATTCTAAGATTGTTCAGACTGAGCTCTGGTGTCAGATTCTGGGATAGATATAAAGATACAGGTTCAAAGACATACCTAAGGGTGGACCCCCCAAATGCTGACTGTAATTATTTCTGAGTATTGACTTAATAGGTGATTTTTCATTTCTTAACTGTCTGGACCCTCTCTATTTTTTTTTTGTTTTGTTTTTAGTTTTTCAAAACACTGTTTCTTTGCATAGCCCCGCCTGTCCTGGAACTCCCTCTGTAGACCAGGCTGGCCCAGAACTCAGAAATCTGCCTGCCTCCCAAATTCTGGAACTCAAGGGTTGCTGCACCACCACCGGGCTCTGCTCATTTTTACATTAATTGTTTGTTTGTTTGTTTGTTTTTGAGACAGGGTCTAGTTTAGCCCAGGCTGGCTTTGACCTCACTATGTAGCAGAAGCTAGCCTTGAACTCTTGATTTTCCTGTCTCAAACTCTCAAATGTTAGGATTACAGGCAAGCACCACCATGCCCAGTTTACATGGTGCTAGACATCAAACCCAGGGTTTCTTAGACGGCAAGTACTCTACCAACTGAGCTGCAGCCCCAGACCCATTGTTATTTATTTATACCCTTGAACCTAAATGTTTATAACAAATGCTTAGAACATCTTGATGACAGGGACACTCCTGGGGTGGGAAACTGACAAAGAAGCCTCTCTGGGCAGACATGGGGATTTTGATGCATGGGAATGAACCTCAAGGTACATTGCCAGCAAAGTAGGTGGAGGTGTTTCCTTCAGCTTCCGCTGATGACCTCCTGGGACCTATCACTATGGAACCCACTCTCCATGAAGTGGGGCCTCCCTGGCAGTCTGCAGATGACGGGTCTAGCTAGATGCCAAATACTGTAGTTGGCTGAAAATGTGATGTAGAAAACCAAATGGTATTCTTTCCAGTAGAAGCCAATCCAAATACATTTCTTGTTTGTGTGATGATGAAAAAAAAGTGGGGAAGGAAGAGAAGGAAGAGGAGGAACTGGTGGTGGTAATGATGGCGGTGACGGTGATAACGATGGCGATGATGATTGTTTGGTGATGGTGGTGGTAGTAGTTTGAATGTAATTAGCCTGCTTAAGTTCGTAGGGAGTGGTGCTCTTAGGAGGCGTGGCTTTGTTGGAGGGGGTAGGACCTTGTTGGGGGAAGTACATCACTGTAGGGGCTGGCTTTAGGGTTTCCTGTGCTCAGGATAACACCCAGTGTCTCAGTCAGTTTCCTGCTACCCGAGGATGTCAGACTCTCAGCTCCCTCTCCAGCGCCACACCCGCCTGCACGCTGCCATGCTCCCCATCATGGTGATAACGAACCGAACCTCTGAAACTATAAGTGATCCCCGAATTTAATGCTTTTCTTTGTAAGAGTTCCCGTGGTCATGGTGTCTCCTACAGCAATAGATGCCCTAACTAAGACAGTGGTGATAGCAATGGTAGTGGTGGTGATGATTATTTGGTGATGGTGGCGATGCTATAAAGTCCTACAGGAGCAGGCCCTTTACCTTTCATTTGTATTCCTGCTTCCTCTACACGAGGCAAAGAGCTGATACGCAAAAAAACATTTGTAGAATGACTAAATAAATCAATGAAAGATTATTTTACTTTACCCCAGGTGCACGTGTCAGCCTTCATTAGGCAATAGGCACACAAGAGCAGAAAAATGAACCTCATGAGTGCTGCGTCAGAGCCTGTCATAACCCCATTAAGTCTCTGTCCAAGTGAATGAGGTCACACTGAGTCAGATCCTTCCATTTGATGACCGTTACCACTACCATCATCACCACCACCACCATGACCACCACCATCACTACCACCATCACCACCATCATCGTCATCATATGCTGTCAACACCACCAACATTCCCCTCATAGCATCACCATCGTCCTAACTTGGTGCTGCATAATTTATGCCAACAGGGCTCAGTTCAGATCTCTAACTAGACCGTGCTTGTGGGAAAATGCTGCTGAGGATGAGGCAGGAGATCTCTGTGGACAGAGGAGTGCTACTTAAAATACCAACGGAAGCCCTTCAAACACCAGCCAGTTAGGATGGCTGTGCGGAGGAATAGTGCCAACTAGAGTGATTTCTGTAATAATTAGAATAGATACTGTGACCAATCAGTGTGGAAACCTTGACTAATTAAAGCAGAAGTTGTAACCAATCAAAATGGCCTCAGGAGTAATTACAAGACATTGTGTCCAATCTGAGTATACCCTAGCCAGAACTGTTGACAGGCTTGTATCAGTGTGCACATCTGAATATTGCCAGGCCTCACGGCCACAGGATGGTGCCACACTCATTGTTAGCGCTGGCTATGTGAGATGGGCTTGGGCCCAGCTGGTGGCCCTCCCAGGCTCATTTCTTCATCTTGAATCTCCCCAGTGGGAAGTGTTATGGAGGTCCTGTTTTTCAGATGGTATATGAGCATGCAGAAGGAGCCTTGAGAGGTTGTCAATGGCTCACTAACCTTCTGACTTTGGGCAAATTAACATGGAGTCTATTCTGAGTGGGCCATTATAGGTCAAGCACTTAAATGATACCATCGGTATTAAATAAGTGAACAGATGGCAGCTAAGACACTGAAGCCTCCAGTTCTCTAGATAGCTTTGGAGGAGGCTGATCCTCAAATTTGCCTCAACCTGTTCCATCCTGCAGACTCACCTCCATCCAGATCCACCTGAATCCACAGAGGTTCTCCAAAAACTGCCTGACAGAGAAAGCTGGCTCCAGATCCAGAGAGGTCAGCGCACCCAGTGACACGGGGCACCTCCATCTTGTCTCGAAGCATCACTTGTGTCTGTGCGGTCACGTGCCACTCACTGGTTGTACACTCAGCAAACACAGTGAACTCCCCAGGAGAGGTGAACTGGTGGGTCACGTTGCTGGACACACTGTGAGGGGTAAGGGGAGCACAAGTTCAACAATCACACAGCATCCACAACTCCCATGCTCTACAAAAACAAGTTTCGGGGCCGGGGGTGTCGCTCAGTGGGGAGAGGGCTTGCCTAGCATGCATGAAGCTCTAAGTTTGATCTCCTGCACTGCATTAACTGAGTGTGATGGTGAACATTTGTGGTTCCCGAACTCAGCAGGGGGAGGCAGAAGATTAGAAGTTCAAGGCCATCCTCTGCTCCATAGTGATTTTGAGGCCAGTCTCAATGGAAAGAAAAATATGTCACATACTCCACCCTGCTCTCTGTGTCAGGGGAGTTCACACTGTGACAACTCAGCAGCATCTTGGATATAGAAAGAAGTAGCACTGATCAATCTTGGAAAATGAATGCCAGCTGCCAGTCCTTTGAAAACAATTACTTATTTATTCATTTGTGTGTGTGTGTGTGTGTGTGTGTGTGTGTGTGTGTGTGTGTGCATTTGTGTGTGCATTTGTGTGTGCATTTGTGTGTGCACATGGGTGTGTGGAGGCCAGAAGTCAACCTTGAGTGATGTTGTCAGGAATCCAGTGAGCTCCAGAGATCCTGTCTCCCCAGCCCTGGCATCACAAGTACATGCCATCATGCCTGGCATTTTATGTGAGTATTAGGGATCAAATTCAGGTCCTCATGCTTTCATTGCTAGATCTTTACTGGCCAAGCTGACCCCCAGCCTCTGCAAGTTCTTTTTGCCTCCATCTCCTAGGAACAGTCTCCTCAGATGGGAAAGCTTTAATGGCTCTTTCTGATGGGAGCGCTGCTGCATTTTCCAGAGTCTCTCATCTTCCTTCATACCCCTGAGCGAGCACCAGAGAGAGAGAGCGGTTTTCAGGGTATGACCTGCTTCTTCAGGCCCAGGCCAGTCCCTTTCACCTAGATCAGAGGTTCTCAATCTGTGGGTCGAGACCCTTTTGAGGTCAAACAAACCTTTCACAGGGGTCTCCCAAGACTATTGAAAAACATAGATACTTACATTATGATTCACAACAGTAGCAAAGTTATGAAGTAGCAAGGAAAATAATTTCACGCTTGGGGATCACCACAACATGAGAAACTGTGTTAAAGTGGCAGCACTGGGAAGTTTAGGAAACATTGCCCTAGACCCTCTGTTTCTGCACCTGAACCCAAAAGACTGCAGCCTTGGAGCTCTCTCCAACCATCACCATCCTCTCTGCCTCCCAGTGCCCTGTGTGCATCTACTCCTCCCCAAGGCTCTTGTTACCTTGTGCATTAGCATTTTCTCAACAAGATTGTTACCCTAAGACAGCCTAGGCATAGAGGCAACTCACAGCGGAAACAGAAAAAAAGTCAATCCCCAGTTGCACCAGTAGGGGGCGCAAGGATATCCAATTCTGGGCTTGGACAAAGTTAACCTTATATAAATTGTCCTATAAGACCCATAATACAGTCTCAGATATGAGGATCTTTTCCAGGACAGAGAAAGGACAGCCTGCCAACTGTATGAACAAGGACATCGAATGCAAGGCAAAAGGGAGGCACAGGGGTAGGGGGGGGGCGGTTTCCAAAGCGGAAGCCTGTGGTTTAATAGGCTGTCTCTCTACTAGGCAGGATTCTACCCTCAGTTCACATATCCGTGGCAGGAGTGGGGTCCAGTTTCAAAGTTCTACTTCTTAGACTAAGGCAGGAGTCTTAGTTCAGCGGTAGAGCACTAACTTAGCATGTATGAGACCCTAAGTTCAAGCCTCAGCATTGCAAAAAATAAACAAATGGGGGGGGTGTTATAGTGGTGGATACCTATAATCCAAGCACTTGATATGAGGCAAGAGGATCAAGGCCAGCCTGGGATGCACAGTGAATACACAATGAAATTTTATCTAGAAGGAAAAAGAAAGAAAGAAAGAAAGAAAGAAAGAAAGAAAGAAGGGAGGGAGGGAGGGAGGGAGGGAGGGAGGGAGGGAGGGAG